TCACTCACTCACTCACTCACTCACTCACTCACTCGAGTTCACTCACTCGAGTTCACTCACTCGAGTTCACTCACTCGAGTTCACTCACTCGAGTTCACTCACTCGAGTTCACTCACTCGAGTTCACTCACTCACTCACTCACTCACTCACTCACTCACTCACTCACTCACTCACTACCACCGCCACCGTCACCACGATCCCCACCTTCATCACCTCTCTGGATCTCTAGACCTCACACACACACACACACACACACGCACACACTGTTTGGGGTCTCTTGCTGGGAAATGTTCTGAAAACAAAACGAGCCACTCACGATTCACTGACCTGCCAGGAAAACCGAGCCTTTAAGACCATCGCCATGTCCAAAGTGCTGCACCGGCCACGAAATCTGCAAAGTGAAGCAGCTTCGATCTCCTGCACCCACGAAAGGTTCACTTTGGTTTTTGGATCAGCAAAAAGCATTTAAACGAAAACAAGATTCGCTTCGCACCTGCCAGAACAAGTGATCACCGAAAAGTCCGAACATGCGCACGGCACCGCAACGAGAGCGCAGTCGGAATTTGACCCGTCTCGGCGTGATGATTACGACCATTATGGCAGCGAATGAAAATTTCCCTCAACATTTGGGTGTGTTTTATAGAATTGGCCGACCCCTCAAAGACTTGGGACAATCACAAGGAACAGAAATCCATTGCTTGGGCGGTCCTCCCATTACAATCCCAATTTGTGTATTGTTTTCTCGACGTGGTGATGGTTGACAAACGATGATGATTCACTTATATTCACCTTTTCGCGGCGAAAAACAAATTATCTTAGGGGTGTTCACGAGCGAATTAGTTGGGACACTGGACCCACTCCCAATAGGATGGAACAACTTGGTTTTCGGATTTCCCCATTCAACAACCATGACTTTACTATACCACTGACACCATGAACCCCAGCACCAGCTGGAACCAGCCACTGCCGAGGTTACAATGCCGCTGTCAGTAGCTGCGATCGCGTGAGCCGATGGCCAATGGTGACTGGGTGGGAACAATTGGGCAAAGGTTGCGCGAGAGTTGCAAGGCATACATGGATTTTGAAGAGCATTTTGAAGAGCTTATGTTGACAGGAAAATACCCACAGTGGATGAATCAACCACCATATGTTCTGACATGTGATAACTAACACTGAAAACCCAGGTATCACTTTTGGCGTTCACTCGTTCCTCCCGTCGGACACCGGACTGGTTGGAATCTCGTTGGCTGGTCGTTGGCTGGTCGTTCGGGCAGAAAACGAAGCGCATCGCAGAAACTCCGCAGACCCAAACACCCTTTCGATTGACCAAACATACAGCACTCGACATCGAACGTCTTGAAACATGTCTAGGACTCTCCAAGATGCAGTTTTGGAGGGTTTGTCGCCTGGTACTGCTAGAGAGTGGATGCCCACTGCCCACTTTACGATTTTATTCTTATATAAGGGCATCGCAATGGTGATTTTTGACGATTAAACCTCCATATCAAGGTGATTCCAACAATGTAGTGTACACTGGTTTATTCTTCAAGTGTCAACAGATTGTGGAATCTCTCGTTAACAGTTCCGAGATCAAATGAGCTGCGTTTGGTCAACTGATGTTTCTTGGAAGGTCTCAAAGGTAAGTTTTGAGTTCTTGGTTTGTCCTTTTGTACCTGCTGGGTCTTTAGCAGGTGCTCGACCTGGAAGAAAAGGATGTCCGTATACGTGTCAAATCCGTCCCACCAGCGGAGACAAAGCACGGCTTGCACAAGTACCCATCCAAACGCATGAATGACCCTATACCTCGGAGAATGATGTTTGTGGAGCCTCCCTCTGAATTTTGATGGTTTGATGATATATGAATATGTTGATGATGATGTTTTATGAATATGTTGATGATGATGTTTTATGAATATGATGATGATTATGATGATGATGATGATGATGATGTTTTAAAGCAGGGTTTGTTCGGCTCGCCATGTGTCGTTTGAGAGAGAGAGAGAGCAGTTTGTTTGATTTGTTGGACGCTCTGGAAGCACCTATGCCCGAAAACACAGTTGCAAAGCAGTGGATGAGCGGGTGAGGCATGGTAAATCTGGACTCATCCAGGACCCATCCAAAGGGGTTTTCAATACCCGACACGATTGAGGTCTCTCCAGCCAGGACCCCCACACGGCGCGTGGGTTGAGGAATACAGAAGATCTGTTCTCACCACTTTTCTGGTTCTTCAAAGAGACCTTTTCATCCCGGGGTTTCCCAAGTGCAAATTCCAAGTCCAAACTCCCCAAGTGTGTGGCTCCCAACCCGCTCGGCAAGCCGGATCAACCCTCCAACACCCAGCAGCGTGGCATGTGCTCGTTGCCCCGGTCGCGGACGCGCGGCGACGCTTTCTCTTCGCTCCGTCCAGAGCAAAGCTGTGGAGCGAAGCTTTTCTCGAGGCTGGACAATTGCTGAGGGTCATGGCCACGCGCGAGGTGGATGCGGATGTCATCAGTTGCTCGGGCTATGCTGTGGAACTCACGTTTGGACGTTGAGAAGTGTCCCCCAAATTCCTACAAGAAAACTGCCAGATACCGCGAAAAGTGCATGAAAAAGACACGGGACTTTGTGTTGTTCGTGGCCGTTCTTGTGGCATGTTGGGTGTTTGAAAGGCCGCTCCAGGAAAGTTGTCAGCTTCTTGAGAAGTGACCTCTAATTACACTTCCTGAAATCATCATGGAAATTGCACATTGCCCTTTGGATGACCATGTTACCATGCTCCTCTACAAACAGGTGGTGAACTCCACTTCCATGATCATTTCAATGAGTGTTTTTTGGGGCCGGGTTCAGTGTCCTTTGCAGAAATTCAGCAGTTCAGTGTCCTCAAACTGAGGTCTCAGAGGAAGACCTAACTTTCAAGAGCAAGGCCTCATATAATACTTTGGCTGGGTCGCAAGCGAGCGCTCTCGAAGACCTGTAACAAGTCTTTTTTTGTCAAATCTCACCCTGAATGATCACTGATGGGAACAGTTTGCTCCAATTCATCATTTATCATATATTTGAGTTCGGCACGCCAGCCATAGATACAAGGAGCCAAAATATGTACGTGTTAAAAGAAACAACAACAAACAACAACAATTATTTGATGGTTGGTCATGTATGGCTTCCATCGCTGAACACAATCATATATCATTCCTCTTCGAAGTCCAGTGACCAACGTTTTGTTGGGGCACCGATGTATAAAGAAGCGACATGCCATGCCTCTTCCCGACCACTGGACCTCGGGGCACTGACCATGGTCTACATGTCGTGTGACGTAATGGTCGACTCGACTCCCTAGAGCTTTTGACCCGACTCGGCATCCCTAGGCTTTTGGACTCTAGGCTTGTACTCCTACCAGCTGCTTCCGGGCGTTCGGGGTCACCTGGCTGGATATCTCCACACTGCGTAAACAGGTCTCCAGACAGACAGGGGCACCCTCTCCACGAAACGCGACCCGGTAGTACGTGTCGATGTTTGAACCCTGGAGCCCTACGGAGATGATCTGTGTAGCTGGCGCGCGGAACTCTCCGGATGAAGGTCTCACGTCACGTCAATCGGAGTCGCGTCCGATCGAGGTGCCCTTCGAGGTTTGGAGGAAGAAGGGCAGGGATGGTGCCCTGGACTTAAAACTACCCGTCACTCCAGGTCATTCCTGGTACCTCAAAGTTCCCAGACACGACTAATGGGACTGCCATATTTACCTACATTGGGGTGGTGCCAGGGGTGTCAATGTAGGCATATATGGCAGTCCCATTAGTCGTGTCTGGGGTTTGAAACCCAGAATTAGACCGTTTCCTGCGCAAACGCCACGTCCGTGGCTCTCCAAGGCTTCAACTCAGCTCTGAGCTCGGTGCGTCGGGCGTGCCGCTGACGCCGGACCGTCGGGCGGTGGCGGCTGTGTGACGAGATGTGGCACCTGATCCCTGGAAGTCCAGAGAAGAGGAGGCTATCGCAGGCAGAGAAGGTCTTAGGTTGGAGGCCATTGCTTTTAGGTTGGAGGCCTAGTAACATCTAGCAACAAGAAGGTGCTGCAGAGAAGGTCTTCTAGGGTGGCTCGAAGAGGAACATCCTTTACTTGGGTCTGCCGAAAAAAAAGTCTTTGGACTCTTAGAGTGACTGGGCCTCCCAAAATTAATGAAAAAAAGCCGCCCTTGCGATGAGTTAGAAGCGAATCCCAAGAGGTCTACAAGACCTATAGTCTTGTACAGAGCCAGCAGTTGCCAGCTCAGAAAATAAAACGCTTGAACCTTCCAAGCTGCCCTCCTTCATGCGAAAAGAACGTTGCCAGAATGACTAAACAGGTTGGTGAAGACCTTCTCCATGTCACCTGTCTGCCAGGTATGTCAGCCGCCCTCCATGTTCACTCCTTCCCACCGTCCGACCATGTCACAGCGACGAGAGGACCGTGAAGCTTCACTCCTGGCCTTAGAGACCATAAGAGTTGAAAGTGCGACCCGGAGACACCTGGGCGACCCGCGAGAGTCGGTTCTGCAACCCACCTGAGACCTGCCACACGCGAACATCTACAGCTGCCAGCTGCTTGTGCTCCTCCCCGCTTAGCCCGCACCAGCTCGTCCGAGTGTGTCTGTGGCTGTTCCCCCCCATTCGCAGCCGCGCGGGGGGCCCACACGAAAGCCGGCGACGACCGGCGGTCCGGCGAAGTGGCTCGCTTGGGCAAAGCACCTTCATGAGGGTCCCGGCACGACTCACACCGGGATCAAGCGGACAGGATCAGGACCCTTGGGGGTAAGTGACCAAGGTGAAACCATGGACCCTTTTTGGGGACAATGAATTGTTGAGTCCGTATCAGTGGAGATGGAGCTGTGCGCTTGGACCTTCATGACAGCCCTTCAAGGCGGAGGGAGGTACACCAGCAACCACGGGGGGGGAAGTGCAAAAAGATTGTAAGTCTAATAGGGTGAATATCATCCAGACTATAAGACTGACTTGGTAACTTAACCAAGTCCTTTGAGAGATGTTGGGACATCTTATCCACAACACATGGGAATCATAAGGAATCTATAGATCTCCAAAGCTCAAAGCTATCAAGAGAGGTTGAGAGACGTTAACTAGGGCCAACTAGTGACATGAATAGAGATGGGATGGCGACCTGGATGGGCTGATCAAGCTGGACCTCTCTGAAGCCATCAAGATCTTAAGACCTTCCAGCTTGATGACTTGACTTGACTCCGTGGCCACACACCTGGCCAAGAGAGGTAAGTGCATCTGACCAAAAGGACCGGGGAAACCATTTGGGGGTGTCCGTTTCCTGCCCCAACCTCGAATGTATACTAAGTTACTAACTCAAGTCCTTTCACCTCTGGATTGCCTGGCGACCTTCCTAGCGACCTTCCTTTGCCGACTCGTCGGACGGGGTCTCGCCCCGAGTGGAGCCTGCAACGAGCGCTGCCAAACGGGTGGGCCGCTGGCGCAGTGTGATGCGAGATGATGAGACGTGTGGCCGTGGGGTCGCACCTGGAGGACACCCGGTGGACACCCCAAGAACCCTATCCCAAACACGACCTGTCTGGGACTGCCATCGATTGTGTACATTGGGGTGGTGGTCTGGGGGGTCTGTCTGGGGCGGCATATTACTATGGCAGTCCCATTAGTCGTGTCTGGGTATAGGAGCCAATGACCATGTCGTGAACCGGCACCGCCATGATTGGTGACCGGACTCTAAGATGCTAGAAATCCTCTTGAAATGTAAGATTCTTAATGATTTACCCAGACGCTCCTGGACCCTCATATGGAGGGGTCGGACCCGAATCCTCTGGAGGGGTCAGGGGTCTCAAATCCCCATGGTTTTGAGGGACCAGTCGGGCTGTGAACGGAGCGTTTGGGTATGGCTTAAGTTTAAACAAAGTATAAAACTATAAAGTAACTTGTCATGGATACGAGCTCTTTGCAATTACCAGGTGCTATCAATCCAAGATTAGACCTTCGATCGATTGGTATCACTCCATCGTGATCCTCCGCATCCCCCCCGCGAGCCATCCCATCCCCCCACCGAGACCACCGGTAGAACCAGGAGAGTGAGTGGATGTCGTGCACCAGACGACGACGTCGGTGGAAAGCTTCGGTTTCACATGGTTTCACCTCCCGAAATGCTGCCATTTCTCGCCGTTTCTCGGGAAAGCTGCACTAGTTAGGGCTCCAGTCGTAGCTCCTGCAGGTATGGTATGACTGGCTGTGACACTGGTCCAACACCTTCGAAATGGTACGACTGGAGCCCTAGGAGAGTTGGTGCTTTGCTCGTGATGGATGGCTCCCCACCAGTCCACGGTGGAAGCCACTTTCCCCGCCGTCGCCGTCCGCTTCCAAGGCCGGCGAAGGAGATGCACCAGGCTGGGGCGAGCGAGTGATCGAATAGGAGAGAACGAGGGTGTAAAGAGCTCGAAGGGTCGCATGATCGGATCTGGTGACCTTTGGAATCAATGGAAATTCGTCAGATGGGTCCTGATGGTCTTCAGAATCTATAGAAGGGTGTCCTGAAAACCTGAAAACCTCCAAATGAGTCGTGATGTTTTCTCCCAACTCCAGTGAGGTCAGTTCCTGTATAGGGGTAAGAGTGGTCGACCTTTTCCATGCAGGTGATGGGAAAGGGTTTGCGTCTTCTGGGTCCTTCGCTTCAGCTCCCAAAGACCTCCCAAGACCTCGGTCGTGCCGGAACGGAGCCAGAGAGCCGACGACCCGGTCGTGGCATGATCTCCTTCTCCTTCAGGTTTTTCATGGGACTAGAGATCTGAGGACTGAGGGACTGACCAGCAGTCACGTGAGAACAGGGTGCGGACTCTATGGAGGTATGGAGGTTAGATGAGGTTAGTGCTCCTGTCACATCCACTGTCACCCTGGATGGGACGAGCCACACCATCCCGTCTGACGTGACTCCTGGTAGTAGAGATGTTGTTTCTTAAAGAGTGGATGATGTCACAATGATGTGCAACTCGTTTTGGGGGAAAGAAGCACATGGTCCACTCTGGAAAGTATAGAAATAAGGACATCCACTCAGGAGGTTGCCACTAAAGCTGTTTTGGATCCCATTGGAGCTGCTTTGGGGGGAAACCCGTTTCCCTGGTACGCAGTGTGGTACTGGTACGGGTTTAATGTTGGCTCCGGAGGATGGTCATGGATGGTGGACTCCCTGAAAGAATCATGCCCAGACACTCCATGGGACTGGAATATATGCCGCCCCAGACCCCCCTGACACCACCCCTGGCCGGAACTTGAAGGCAGTCCGACCCTGGCAGTCCCAGACAGGTCGTCTTTTGGGATGGATACAAGGGTTACAAGTCCAGAACCGGACCCCGATCCCGGTCCTCTGTCGGACATCCGGTCCCTACGTAGAAATCGGTCATACGTCCAGTCAAATGAGCTTTCATGACCTGTAGGGTGATGATGTGGGTTGGCCAGAAAACCTGTGAGAGTCAATGCCTGCACGGATTATTTGGGACAAATGCCTGCAACTGATGAGTCATCCACTTGGGCGATAGGTTGGGATATATTCCATTGGGTGCCCTACGTGGATATCCAATTCACATTGACCAATTTTCAATCCAAACATCAAAGAGGTGGACGTAAACTCCACGTATGCCATGATGATTCAGGAGTGTAGAGACATTTATCCCAAAATGACTCCAAGCTTTCCAGGGGAGTTTCTATTCAGTGGAGCATCCTTCATTAAAAGATGCTTATTGGAAGTCCTGTTCTTCCGGAGTTGGAAGAACAAAGTTCTCCTCCTCCTACTTTAGGTGTGAGACACCTCCTCCTCCTCCCTCCTCCTTCTTTGGCATCGCCCGGCTTTTCCGGTGGTTCTTTTGAGGTCTACGACCTGATGGATGGGATGCATGTGCTGATTAGTCCCAAGCTCGGCCACCGGAACGGACAAACGGACAGCAGCTGGAGAAGATCTGGGCGACGAGGTCGGTCGCCTCCCTCGAAGACTCAGTACCGCCTCCCTCACTCCAACAACCGAAGCTGGCCAGGACCCCCTTTGAGTTCGGCCTATGTTCCACTTCCATTATTGTTTCAGGGAGTGTAGCCCATATACACCCAGTACTTACCCAGTATCCCAGTTTGGGACTATCCATAAAATACTGACCCATCCTAAGCTGTACTGTATAGATTCCCAGACATAACATAATATCTGGAGCTGCTCCATAATATGGCATGCATTCCTTGTGGTTTTGGGTGGTTTTCAATGTAGAGTAGTGGAGGTGCTGCAGAAATGGAAGCAACATTGTCATTGAAAGATGCAATGGATGACTCGGACGATGTCTGCTTTGTGCCAAGGTGATCTTAGGTGCAGTCTTGTTGGAGAAACCCTTCATCAATAGCCCCTCACAAAGCCAAGTGCAAGCAAACACTCTAAAGTCTAGAGGCTTGAAGCACTCCGTGTTGAAGGGCCTTGCAAAGTGAATTTGCTACCTTCCAGTGGCCCCTCCCTAGTTATCCCCCTTCCAGAACCCAGTGATCCCAGTTACCACTATATAAGGAACCAGGTTTCTAGGTCTACTGATTATGTTTATGGAACCACTGATTACCTACTATAGTGGTAATAACTGGATCCACTGGGCGTATGTCTTCCAGTTTTTCTCGCAACACCCTCCGGAGAACCCACCAATTTCTCATCTCCAAAGCCTCCAGATCCTTGAACTCCTCCACCCTCCACCCTCCGCCATGAGTCCAAACCGGGAGATCTTGGACCTCCCGGTCCAATGAAACAGATTCCTCAGACGTTCGGGACAACCTTTGAGTCAACCTATGTATACCTGAGTCAACCTATGTCCACCTTCCATGGTGACACTTGGAGGTGCCATGACGACGACTCTACAACTCTACACATCCCCACCACCATCGATGACTCGACCT